CTGGGAAAGGCCACAGGCCTGCCCGGGTGGCTTTTCTGTGCCACCAAAGTCACACCGCGTAAGCGGTCACCTGGTACGCGTCCTCTGAGTGAATTTTTAGGGGGTCCTCAGCGTGTTAACCGTTACGGTATTGAACATGTCACAGAGATTCCCACACGGTCCTCATGTACTGCGTCTCGTGACCTCATGATGCTACCAGTCTGGTCGTGAAGGCCAGGGAGCAGGTTTGGAAGATCAAAGGGTGCATCGAGAGTGCCAGGAGCTCTTCCCACTCAGGGCGCACTGGGACCCCCCAGCACCAGCCCCGGCTCTCACACAGGCTCTGGGCCGGCGGGGTGTGAGTGGGGGGCGGGCGTGGGGACAGGCACGGAGGGACCGACCGTGCGCGGTCAGCAGCCTGGGGAGGGAAGGGACATGTTTTGTTACCGGCATCAAGGCTGTGGAGGAAAGGAGAAGCAGACCCCGTGAGAGGGCTGGGACAGGCGGTCACAGAGTCTCATTGCCGAGGTGACATTGGGACAAGGATTTAAGGACGTGTGGGAACTGGCTCGTTAGTGTCTGGAGCATGAGTATCGTAGCTGGAAGGGAGTGGGCGCAGAGGCCCAGACCCAGTCTGTGTACAGCCGGAGGGCCGCGGCGGCGGGGTGGCCGGAGGCCGGTGGAAGCAGGAGTCCCGGGCAGCGCCAGGCGGTCGCAGGAACCTGACCCCTGACCGAGCCATGCGCATGCGTCGCAGGCCACTGGGGGTGTTCACACATCTACGGCGGGATGTGCGTGCAGGCGCTGGCCGAGCCGGGCAGGCTCCGCGTTCCATTTTGATGGGCTCGCTCCGGCCTCTGTGTTGCCAGTGGAAAGAAGGTGGCCCAGGAGGCCACTCAGAGGCCCCTCGGGGAACCTGCCGCAGCAGCGCGGACAGGCTGCTCCGCCGGTAGCCGTGGAAGCGGTGAGTGTGGTCGCGTTCGGGACGGATGCTGACGGTCCCCACAGCACGGCCGTGGCGGCAGAGGCAGGGGACAGCCTGTCGCAGCGTCAAGGATTTTAGCTCGCGTGACTGGATGAAGCTGTCACCGCAGGTGGGGACGGTTTGGGTGCAAAAGGAGGTCAGAGTTTAGCTTTGGACATGTGGAGTTTGAGGTGCTATGACCCCTACATGGAGCTGCGGAGCAGCCAGTGACATGCAGCCCGGAGAGTGGAAGGCGGCGGTCCGAGCAGGAGGTGTCAGCAGGGTCTTTGGCCGATGATTGGTGTTGAAAGGTCAGACCAGATGGGATCCCAGGGAGGGGAAAGGATCGGGTCCGGGACATTCCAGCTTCGTGAAGCCAAGATGGAATGAGCAGAGCGGGAGGGGCGTCTCGGAAACCCCTGAAATGCTTTGTGGGCGGGCCGCGGAGCTATGGTCACTGTGCCGGCGGCCAGGCGAGACGGGGACCGGGAATTCCCTCTTAGGTCAGTGCCCTGCGGGTCATCGGTGGCTTTGGTAAAAAGGGTGAAATGCCATGTGGTTCTGGTGGCTTTGACCGGAGCGGGTTTGGAGGGAAGGATGGCGGGGAGGCGTCGGAGACGGAGGTTGCTGACAGGCGTGTGGGAGCTTCGCGGCAAAGGGGAGCAGATGGGGCGCTGTCCGGCGGGGTGCACAAGGCCAGGAGAACTCGCGTTTAGAGGCGGCGTTAGCGGTGAATCGACACGCTGGCGGGAAGAAGAAGCCGGCCAGGAGTACGCGGGGCTGCCGAGGTCGGCGTCTGGGTCGGAGGAGGTGGCTTTGTGCCCGGTGGCGTCGCGGGAGGGCACACGGGCTCCTGGTGGGTTGGACTGTGACGAGTTCTCGGGTGCCGGGGTGGTGGCGCCCGCGGGAGCAGCCTGCAGTTTCTTCTGATCGCTTCTGTTTTCTTCGTGAAATAGGGAACGAAGTTGCCGGCTGAGATGCCGTGTGTGTGTGGGGTGGGAGGGGGTGGGGTGTGGATTGGAAGTTTTAGGGGACAGCGAAGGAGGAAGACGTCCCTAGAAAGGGAGGTACGGAGGGGTCCCCCGGCAGCACTAGGAGCTCGTGGCCAAGCAGCGGGGGGAGCGTGGTTCTCTAGACAGCTCAGCTGCGGAGTCGAAGGCACACAGTAGGTCAAGAACTGAATTCTCCTTTGGCTGAGCAGAGCGGGGCAAAGTAAGAGGGTGGCCGAGGGGACAGCGGGTGCAGGAAGGGGTGACACTGGTCACGTGGGGATTTCGAGGGTAACATGAGGAGGAAGCACGTCGGGGCGAGGGAGCGGGGGGCTGGACGGTGGACGCATTGGCGGTGCAGGACAGGGGTCAGTGCTGTCCCGTTAGGGACACTGGGGGAAGAAGCTGGAGGGGGCAGTGCACGGACCGGGCCCTGCGGCGTTTGCTGGAACCCGAATTCCAGCGGACCTTCCCCTGAGCCCAGCTCCTGGTCACACTGCCTCGCTTGTCGCCGTCTGACTGCAGAAGGCCAGCTGGAGAAACCTGCTGAAGCCCTGCCCATTTCCTGATGTGACCGATGCGCCCCTCGGGTCATCCCGGGAGCCCCTTGCTCAGTGTGATGACGCAGCCCTTGGTGAGGCGGAGCACGGTCCGCAGCCCCTCCTGGTGGCGGGGCGGACCCTCGAGTCCGGCCCTCCCTTCTTCACTGGCCCGGAAGCTCACTGCGTTGTTTGTTTTTTTAACCTTAACCTAAAAGTTTTAGGGTTATCGCACCTTTCCCTGGAGCACGGCGACCGGTCCAGGGAGATGCAGAGTCTCCTCAGGTATCAGGAAGGCACGAAGCGCCCCGGAAACGCGCTGTGCTGCCCCGTGGGGCTGTGCAACCTGCCTGTGCCTGTGCCCACCGCCCCCCACATTCCCTCTGGGGCTCTGTCTCCAGCAAGGTCCCAGGAGTGAGCCATGGCTTCGTCGTTACCAAAGGTTCATGCCGAAGAGGCCAAAATACCAGCCAATGGCATTCCGGCAGAAGCAGACATATTCTGAAATGTTTAGGATTTATAAAGAGAAACCACCTTCACAGAACGAAAACCACCCCAAGTCACACTTCTGTGATGGAAGGAGCTACATCTGAAAGATTGTTTCGTTTTCTTTCTGTCTTCGAGCGGAGAATGTCATCGGGAGAAAAAGAGCTCTTCGGTGAAGAAACTTGAATTCGGCCTTGGCCTTGACTGAGCACCGGGGACCGCGGGCGTCTGGAGCGCTGCGGCCGGGGCGGCTGTGCCCAGCGCCACTGTGGTCCTGGCTAGTGAAGCTTTAAGGCAAAGGTCGTTCGAAACACTAACTAGAACCAACACGTCAGTCCCGTGCCTCGATGCCCGTGGCTTCAGAGCCGCCGGGGTGGCTAAAGCGTAGTTTCAGAAACGGAAGCTCTTGAAGACGCGGTTCGGAGCTGCGGTGGCCGACGGCTGTTACGCTTCATCGTGACGACCGCCTTTTGCGTTTATCCGTTTCGGTTCCTCTGTGCGTTAGCCTCTCGTTCCTTGTTTTTGCTCGTTTTGGGAGCCGTGGGTCATTCGCACAGGCGTGTCATCCTCTGGGCAGTGCCGTCCAGCCTGCCCTGACCGTTCTCGGTGTTTCCATGTGACAGATTCAAGCGGCAGGATGACTGCAGGCCCCAGACAAGACAGGACCTCTTCCCGAAGCAGCGTGGACTCTCCCGACGGGTGCAGCAGAGCATCTGTCAGTGCAAGGACCGCGAGGGGTGAAGCGGGAAACGGGGCAGGTTTCTGCTTTTACGTTTTTCTTCGACTGATGTGAACAAGCGTGGGGCGTGGGACCCCAGCTCCCAAACCTCGGGCCCAGGACAGAGCCACATCGAGGAGCCGCGACGTGGGTGCCGTGTGCGAGCACCCCCTCTCAGCACCGAGGTTTGGGGCCTGCAGCGGAGAGAGGGAGGAACACGTGGCAGGACAGAGTTCTCAGGCTCCTCGTGCTGGACCCTCGATGTCCGGCGTTGGACTGGGGTGTGGCCGGTGGGGAACCGTTCATCTTTGTGAAGGGCGGGGATAGGATTTTACGAAAACGAACGAACGTGTTTGGGGCCGAGTCGGTGCTGTGATTCCGGTGAGAAGACAAAAAGCAGTGAAGAGTCGGAAGGAAAATTTAGATCATGTGGCTTCACGAAATTAAAGCATCGTTCCCCTCTGATTTAAAACATATCGTACTTTTTCCGTGGTACCCAAAGGCCGGCAGAGCTTCGTAGACATGCGCACACACGTTTGTCCAAGAAATGTCTCCTGTTACACGTACAGTTCCAGTAATAACTTACGCTTTTAGCTACATTTAGCATCGTTTTATTAACTAGCAGGGAGGAAACCATCAGTGTCTGGTCATTATAATTGTTATAATATAAACAATGTACCTCAGTTACCTCAATCTCATTTTAATACTGACTGTACTGATTTTAATAGTCTGTTTGATAAGCGTGTCCCATAATTCACTTCTCAGTCTGTTTGATGAGCGTGTCCCATAATTCACTTCTCAGTGTTTTTAACAAGTATCTGTCTACACACTTATTAGAATTTAAAGATAAGGTGAAACTTTTTCTGCTAGGAAGGCAGTCTCTGGCTGATGGGTTTGACAGTGAACTGTCTTTGTCTCAGGTTATTATAATGAGCTAAATATGCAAATAATGTGGACGGGCGTATTTGAAGCATCGTTATGATAAAATCACACATTAAGATATTTAAATGGAAAGATGCCTTGAAATTAGTCCTTGTTTCGAGAGCTTTCTGCGTTATCAGTTGAAGCAGGGTGCCTTCCGAGAGGGAGCGTGATGAGCACCCTTGAACGGCTCCCAGGAATTGGGGCCTGGATGACTGACATCCCCGTGCCTCTCCCCTGCAGGCCCAGCGGTTCCCAGAAGTTCCTTCTCCCCATTAAATTGTCAGCCGATCGCTGAAACTGGTGATTGTTTGTTTCTGTGTGGTGTTTGGCATCTCCGTGGAAGAGCTTCAGAGCCGAGTTTCATCGTCACAAAACGCCGTCCATTCTCATCTGTGTACTTAGGAGAACAAAGGGTAAAATCAGTACACACGTGAAAATGAAGACTTGGAAGAAAACTGATCTCGAACTGGGTCCGATAAACGTAGGTGATATTTACCTACAGATCCCCAAACTTCAGGAGAAAACGGTTTAAATATTTTTATTTCTGAGAAATGCTAAGTAGTTTTATTAACCTCTTCTTTATTACTTTTTGAGCTTTATTGAGGTGTCATTGACAGATAAGATTGTGATGTAAGTGTCCAGCGAGTCCACATGTAAGCGATAGCATGCGGTATCTGTCTTGCTGTGGCTCGTTTCACTTGGCATAACGCCCTCGAGCTTCATCCACATTGTTGCAGATGGCGGGACTAATCCTTCTTCCTAAAGGCTGGCTCATAATCACTATATGTCCCACATTTTCTTCATCCATTCGTCTGTCGGTGGACACCGAGGGGGGATTCACGCCTTAGCTGTCGAGAATGATGCTGCCGTGGACCGTGGGGCGCAGACCTCCCTTTGAGTAACAGTTTTGTCTTCTTTGGGTGAGTACGCAGACGCGGGCTCGCTGTGTCACAGGCCAGTTTCGTTTCTAACATTTTGGGGCTGCAAACTGGGGCACCTGCAGTGCACGAGTACCCCCTTTCTCCGCATCCTGCCAGCATTTGTTCTCTCTCGTGTTTTGATGATAGACGCCCTAATAACAGGGGTGCGGTGGCGTCTCACCCTGGTCTTGGTTTGCATTTCCCTGACGATGAGTGAACGGCGAGCGCCTTTTCAGGGGCTTGTTGGACCTGTACGTCTTCTTTGAAACACATCTATTTAAGTTCTTTGCCCATTTTTAATTTTACACACACGCACACACGCACGCACACACACGTTGAATTGCTTGAGTTCCTCCTGTATTTCGGATGCGAACCCCTTGTTGGATACGTGGTTCGCAGACACTTTCTTCCATTCCGGAGGCAGCCCTTTCGTTCTGTCGATGGGTTTTCCTTTGCTGTGCAGAAGCTTTGTCATTCGATGTGGCCCAGCTTATTCTTGCTTGTTTTTAAGGCCTTTGCTTTGGATGTCTTCATTCAAAAACTCGTCGCCAAGACCATGTCGAGGAGCTTACTCCCTGTTTTCTTCTGGGACTTTGATGGTTTCAGGTCTTACATTCAAATCTTTGAAATCTAGTTTGAGTTGGTTTTTATGTGTGGTGTAAGGTAGGGGTCCAGTTTCATTCTTTTGCGTGTGGATGTCCTGTGTTCCCAACATCATTTATTGAAGGGACCGTCCTTGCCACAGTGTTCACTCTTGGTGCCTTTGTTGAAAATTAATTGACCATATACACATGAGTTTATTTCTGGGCTCTCTATTATCTTTCATTGATCTGTCTGTGTGTCTGTTTTATGCCAGTACCACACTGTTTTGATAACCGTAGCTTTGTAATAGCGTTTGGAGTTAGGAAGTGTTCAGCTTTGTATTTCTTTCTCAGGATTGCTTTGGCTATTCGTGCATATTTAGAAAAATAAGTGACATAACAAGAAATCACATTTTTTTTTGTTCAACTGCTGTGGCTTTAAAAAGGCATTATTTTCAATATGCAGAAATTATATCTTTTGCAACTATTTAAAATTCTTATGTAAGTTTTAGATGGCAACTGAATGATGTGCTAAAGGCCTTTGCACTTATAGAAGTTATTTTGTCTGCAGCCAAGCCAGCAGCACATAAATCTCTGCTTTGGGCCTCACAGAGCAAATGAGAGGCTCTGTGGTGTTGCAGATGGCACACGGAGGGACAGGAGTCAGTTGGGGACCGAGGTCTGCCACTTCCTGCCCCGGTGAGCGTGGGAAAGTCAGCGAACTCTCAGAACCTGGATTTTTTTTTTAATTGTCAAATAGGAATGACGGCAATGCCTTCCTATCTGCCCGAAAGTCACTTGGGAGCATCAGACATGCCTACGTGCAAACAGTTAGGTTATTAGTTACTCAAATATTAGTTACTGGTTAGGAACGGAAAACAAATGAAATGATCAGCTGCAGCCCGCTCTGGGCCCTGGGGAAAGGGGAACGGAGGCTGGTGGGTGGGTGAGTGTGTGTGAGTGTGTGTGTGTGTGAGTGAGTGTGTGTGTGTGTGAGTGTGTGTGTGTGAGTGTGTGTGTGTGTGTGTGTGTGTGTGTGTGTGTGTGAGTTTGTGGTGTGGTGTGGTGTATGGCTAAATCATTAACTCAACCCGATATGCTTGGTTATTTAAATGCCACCTATAGACTTGCTTCCTCAGTCTAAAAACTAATCAC